ATTTTTCAACATCAGAAGTTGTCAAAGAGGTTTCCACAATGTAGCTTTTGAACATAAATCATAAAATACTGGATGAACGATATTTCTTACAGTTTAAGTATATTCTTTTAAGTTAATTATTTCTAAAATAAGTACTATTTTCAAAGTATGTTAAATGTTAATCAGTACCACTTTCTTTTAATCTCCTTGCTGCCCGTTTTATGTGCTGTAGTAATAATAACATTAAATTATTTATAATCACATACTGTAAAAAAACATAGACACAAACGTAGCTCGTTTGAGTTTTTTTTTGGTTTATTTACACTTTCGAAATGAATCATTGACCTCTGCTCGATGTTGAAAAATGCTCTCTTGATCTTAAACATCTGCTTGATGATTTAAAATTGAACTCTACATGTTACTTAAATTATTCCTATATAACTACTAAAGTATCAATACAACCCCTAGTTCTTTCCTACATCAAAACTTGCCAAAGAAGCTCCCATAAAGCAATTTCTAAGCATAAATAAATGTAAAACGCCTGCAAATCAATAAAACGCTGACAATTAAACCATGACAGGTATTAAACTGTGTGCAACAAATTCAATATTGTGCATATTTGTACTTATAATTGAAATAATAATGTTACCTATGTTCAGCAGTGAGGTGTTGCCAGCAGCTCTTAATTCACTCATATGTGCCTGTGTTTTCCCACAGTCCTTCTGTTTGTGATCCTGCCATCTCTGTTGATCTGTAGATATGAGGATCTGCCCCGTCCATGAACACACAAGCACCTCTGAAAAAGAAAAGTTAAAGATTTACTCGCTCCTCACCCCAAAACTGACCCTTTCTATGTTCATCCCAAAAAAACAAGGCCACTGTGGTAAAGGACAGCATCAATCACAGTGGCTCAGTGTTATTTGTTTCAGCAGTGCCAGAATGATTTACAGTTAAAGTCAGAATTATTAGCCCCCTTTTAAATTTTTATTTCTTTTTTAAATACCTCCCAAATTATATTTAACAGAGCAAGGAAATTTTCACAGTATGTCTGATAATATGTTTTCTTCTGGAGAAAGTCTTATTTGTTTTATTTTGGCTTGAGTAAAAGCAATTTACATTTTTTTAAAAACCCTTTGGAGGTCAAAATTATTAGCCTCTTTAAGCTATTTAATTTTTCAATAGTGTACAGAACAAACCATCATTATACAATAACTTGCATAATTACCCTTGCCAGCCTAGTTATCTTTATTAATCTAGTTAAGGCTTTAAATGTAATTTTAAGCTGTTTAGAAGTGTCTTGAAAAATATCTAGTCAAATATTATCAACTGTCATCATGGCAAAGATAAAATAAATCAGTTATTAGAAATGAGTTATTAAAACTATTATGTTTAGAAATGTGTTGAAAAAATCTCTCTGTTAAACAGAAATTGGGGGAAAAAATTAACAGGGGGGCTAATAATTCTGACTTCAACTGTATGTCATATTAGACTATTTATGATAATATAAGAAACTTCATTATTTATAAAATACTGAATATATTAATTATGTTGTGTGCACTAAGCATTAACAAAGAGTGCCCACAAACTAAACAATGACCCACATACAAGATTTAATCAGGAGACGACAGGAAATTACATTAATTCTTATTTTACAACAATTTAAAAACAAAAACAATAGACTTTGAAATAGATTAATTTGATTACAATGTAGTAAACGCTAGCTTTAGCGCTAATAGTACGTTAACGTTATGGGTAAAAAAAACTAGTTTAGTGTCAGGTTCCATGTAAATGTAAATAAAAATGTTAAGCTTACAATAAATTAGTATATAAAACATAAAACAACTAAATATATGTAAAGTTTAAAAAAAAATTATATCTCAAGTTTATAAGCTATTTTTCAAAAAAATCACATTCACGTTTGAAAGAACTAAGGCTAGTGTGATTTGATTTTATATCGCAGATAACGTTAAATAAACAATACGTTCGCGTAAACTTACATTTTTTGCCAGTGATGTCTATTTTTTTCCGGCAAATTAACCGTCTTTCATTTTCGAGATGTGTTGCTAAATGAATCAAACGAATCGGTTGAGTGTAAGTGATTCAATTGACTCGATGATAACATACACAATCATCTGTTGCCATCTACTGACGAACAGTCAGATGCTGTAACCAAAACTGCTAACTGCCTAAAGCAAAATGCTAGTGTTTAACTGTTTGTAGCACAAGCATCAACACTTTTACAATTAGCTCTATTAAAAGGGTAAGCTAAAGCTAAACAATGATAATTATAGACCAATATTTTGCTAGCCAACACAAAACTGACTTCTGAGACTCAACATTAATTTACATTTCTTGTAGTGTTAGAGAGATACTTCAACGTACCTGCTCCTTTGCTGAAGTGTGATATCGCAGTAATTTTGTGTGCGTGTGAGTGTGTGTGCATGTGTGTGTGTACAGACACAGCCGGTTTCAGCTGAACCTCTTACTCAATCTCAGTTAAATCACCTCACTGTAATGAGATTAAACCCATAATCCAGACTCTTACTGGAAGGGTCCACCACAAACTAGCATAAAAACATGTGACAGGCCATTTTTTTGCCCACTCATGGCAGTACATTTTTGTCTTGACATTATAAGTGTTTTTTTACTAATCAACTTTTAAAGGCCCTTTTTGTGACCTTTAGTGTTGCATAAGTCTAAAAAGGAATAAATTATTAATTCAATCATTAAAATTGTACTTTAACGTTTTTTTTTTATTATTTTGTATAAAAAGTAATCTAATTACTTCACTCAAAACTGCTTAAAATCTTTATGAATCTCAAATGATAAAAATGATTTCTTTAAATTTGAGTCAAACAGGGCCTTTTAGCTTTACTAAATAAATGTAATACCTAAAGAATGTTAAACTTTTAATGTATTCAAATATGAAACATTGCAGTGTAATCCTGCAATATCATTATATATGAGCAATATCACACTCGTAGCAGTGCGATATGGCTGTGTATCGGCACTGGTGGGAGGCGTGCGTTGTGCCTTAGTGCCCCAACCAGTGCCGATATACAGCCATATCCCACTGCTACGAGTGTGATATTGCATTTATACAACAGTTTGACGGCATAATTGTGTATATAAAAACAAAATCAAAGATGGAGAGTCTCAAAAATCCTTTTGTATGAGGAACTACTTCTGCATTGGATTCAAATCATAAGCTGACAGTTAAACAGCTGAGCAAGCATCTTTTAAACTTTAGATCTGTAGTGTTTGCTTTTTGCTGGCTGTATGTGGGCGGAGTAATACACAAAAGGTAAAGAGGCTGTACGGGTGCTGATATTTCTTAAATATATCATATCTATCAACCAATTAGATTCGAGAACCAGACAGAACTGTTGTATATATATATATATATATATATATATATATATATATATATATATATATATATATATATATATATATATATATATATATATATATATATATATATATATATACCATGTACCATATATTTCTTACTTCTTAATGCATTGTCTCTTAACCCTTGTGCACTGTTTAAATATTTTGTTATGTTCGGGTGAAAACATCCACTGAATTAAACAGCTGTATAAATGCATCTGATAAATATTTAATTTTTATTTTTTGATCAACCTCAATCCTGATTAAAACTGTATAACTATGATTAGAAAATTACAGGATTTTAACTCGTTAATTGCCAAGTTCACAAATGATGGCACTGTTTTGGTGGGATAAAAAACAGTAATTGTAGACTGAATTTTTTTTACCTTTTATCACATTCTTGGACATGTGAAAGATTAGTTACAACATTGCTTTTGATGCATTGCTAAATTTTCCTTTTTTTAACTCTAATTTACTGTTGGTGGCAGGTTTTGCCCCATTGGCTTCCATTATAACCACATTTGATGGTGCATAAATACAGTCCTTGTTTTTGTTTACTCCATGTAGTTCTGAGAGCTGAGATGCTTATTTTGATTTTCTCAGACACATCAAGGTAAGTGCTAAAGGTCACTCTTACACACAGACACACATACACACACTTTAATTTGCTGTTATACTCCATAAAATAATAATAATAATAATAATAATAATTATTATAATAATACATTTAAACAAAAAAACAGAAACTAAGCTTTTTTTTTTTTTTTTTTTTTTTTGTACAGGCCTATCTAAAGACAAAATTTATCTCTTCCCAACAGGGAAAACCACCAACAATCAAAAATGCAAGGTTCTATGGTGTAATAGGTTCTTTTTTGTAATAAAAAAAAGTCACCAATCATTCTGATAGCTGAAACACAAAAAAGTTATGGCCAACTTAAGACTCAAAATCCCCAACTGTACATAAGAGTAAAATATGTGCTATTTTTGGACAAATCCATCTTTTTAAGTAGAACAATCAAGTTACTATATGCAAAATATCTGAATAAGAAAACATTTGTTCTTTAGTATATTCAACTGTCTTTAGCTTAAAAATGGAATTGTTCCACAAAATATATTATTCATTCATTCTTGTCGGCTTAGTCCCTTTATTAATCCAGGGTCGCCACAGTGGAATGAACGGTCAACTTATCCAGCACGTTTTTTTTTTAAGGCAGCGGATGCCCTTCCAGCTGCAACCCATCTCTGGGAAACATCCACACACACACACACACACACACACACACACACACTACGGACAATTTAGCCTACCCAATTCACCTGTACCGCATGTCTTTGGACTGTGAGGGAAACCGGAGCACCTGGAGGAAACCCACGCGAACACAGGGAGAACATGCAAACTCCACACAGAAACGCCATCTGACCCAGAAACGACATCTGATTACCTACTTCGCCACTGCGTCACCCCCCAAAAAATATTCGATAAAATGCACTTACTCTGCTCCGAATTGGTTTACTCACACATAACTGTTGATTTTATAGACATAATTTAAGGCAAGTAGTTTAATTAAAAGTAATCCCTTTAATTTTCCAGCAGAGAAGTAATCTAATTACATTAGTTACTTTGTAAGTTACACCCAAAACTGGCTGTAATGTCGTTAATCAATTGTACAAGGCTTTTCTTAAACCCATCTGTTCACATTAATTATATTTATATAAAGAAAAAAAAACATCATCAACTGCCTTTAATAGTGAAATTAGTGCAAAAAAACTACATTACCCACAATGCACACAATAAAATTCCACAAAGAGAGATCTGCAGTGAGATAAATATTCAATAATAGAGTCAATGATTACTGAAATATGATTGATTTGCTGATGTGGACATCTCTGCTGGGTAAAAGAAAACTGAAATCTAGGTGGCACAGTAGTTCAGTAGTTAGCACTGTCGCCTCACAGCAAGAAAGTTGCTGATCCAAATTCTGGCTGGTCAGTTGGCATTTCTGTGAGGAGTTTGCATTTTCTCCCTGTGTTCGTGTGGGTTTTCTCTGGGTGCTCCGGTTTCCCCCACAGTCCAAAGATGTGCGCTAGGTGAATTGAATAAACTAAATTGGCCATTGTGTATGAGTGTGAATGAGTGTGTATGGATGTTTCCCAATACTGGGTTGCAGCTGGAAAGGCATCCGCTGCGTTAAACATATGCTGGATAAGTTGGCGGTTCATTCCGTTGTGGCAACCCTAGATTAATAAAGGGACTAAGCCGAAGGAAAATGAATGAATAAATGAATTCAATAGTGAAATTAGAGCAGAAAAACTACATTACCCACAATGCAAACAAAAAATGTCACCAATCAGCACTATACTGTAGCTAAATATTCATTAAGAGGATTAATGATTGCTGAAGTATGATTGATTTTCTGATGTGGACATCTCCGCTGGTTCACAGTGAGGTCTCTGGGGTCAGAGGTGTGGTGGAGGTGCAGCGGTGGGAGCCTGTGTTTGGACTCGGAGATGAGTGCCAGTACAGTAGGACAGCAGAGAGGCGGACAGGAGTGAGTGTGTCTACAGAGGTGCCGTCCACACACACCTCCTTAAACGAGCTCAAAGGTGTGGACACACACACTCAGTGCAGTCTGAATGTTTATTCCCAAATCAACACCTTTATGAACTCTGACCAGTATGACCCGAAGCTAGACGTAAACACACTAATATAATGAGTTCATGTATGCTGCTTCTTAAAATAATTAACGTAATATTTAAATTAATCCAGTTTGAAAATGAATATTTTTATTAATTTCTCAGTGAATATGGGTAGTAAATATTGGTGCAATTGAACAAAATTATTAAACAGATATATTTATTAAAATAATATTTTAGCTGCTAAACATCTTTAGAAATTGAAAGATAATACATTTAAATTCATGCCGAAAAATGACAAGGTGCAACATTTCAACAAAATTAGATTTTTGTTTCTCTTGATTTTTGCCATTTTTGAACATTTTTATATTTTCTATAACATAAATTAAGGTGTACTAATATTTAACCATTATCGTAAGTTATTTTGATAGATTAGCTTCATATTTGGCTTCACTACTGACTACTCTAATGTATATGTACAAATATAATATTGTAACGCATCCTACAGACAATATTAATTTATATGAGAGATTTGTGAGTGGTGTTCTCATATAAGCTGAGCACTGTATGCTCATCTCAAATTGTACCTGAAAACACAGCCAATATTATGTTTACTTTAATAATATTTGATATTTACTGATATCTGTCAGTATTTTTGTGCCGTTTTAACTCTGTTTCATTCTTCTGACTTGAAAACAGGTTTCCAAGTTGTTCAGTTGGTCATTAATTGAATGTAGATGGAAATTACCAAAAATATTGAAAGGAAACAAAGTTATAATTTTGGTTCTTAAAATTTGTTTATTTGCAGCATTCTAATTTGAATAAATTAAATGTATCAAAAACACATTATATCAAAATGTTAAATGTTTCAAAAAAGCAAAAGAAATATGAAGAATATAATTTGTTAGTTAAATACTTATGTTTTTATAATATATATATATAAGTCAGAATTATTAGCCCCCCTAAATTATTAGACCGCTTGTTTATTTTTTCCCCAATTTCTGTTTAACAGAGAGAAGATTTTTTCAACACATTTCTAAACATAATAATTTTAATAACTCATTTCTAATAACTGATTTATTTTATCTTTACCATGATGACTGTAAATTATATTTTACAAGATAGTTTTTCAAGACACTTCTATACAGCTTAAAGTGACATTTAAAGGCTTAACTAGGTTAATTAAGTTAACTAGGCAGGGAATTAGGCAAGTAATTGTATAATGATGGTTTGTTCTGCAGATTATCGAGAAAAAATATAGCTTAAAGGGGCTAATAATTTTGTCCTTAAAATGGTTTATAAAAAATTCAAAATTGCTTTTATTCTAGCTGAAATAAAACAAATAAGACTTTCTCCAGAAGAAAAAATATTATCAGACATACTGTGAAAATGTCCTTGCTCTGTTAAACATAATTTGGAAAATATTTAAAAAAGAAGAACAAAAATCGAAGGGGGCTGATAATTCTGACTTCAACTGTATATATATATATATATATATATATATATATATATATATATATATATATATATATATATATATATATATATATATATATATATATATTAGTACAAGTACATTTTTGATGAAATAAACTTGAATATTTACTCAATAGTTTTGGTTAGCCACTGTAAAAAATGCTGGGTTCCATACAATTCCAAGCACAAATCTATTAAGATAACAAATTTAAGATTTAATTTAATTTAAATTTAATTAAGATTTTACAAATTTAAGTGGATTGAACATGAAACAATTAGGATGTCCCCCCAAAAAATGTTGTTTCAACTCATTTTAAATAAGCAGTTTGAGCAAGCAGCATATATTTTATAATGATAACAATAATAAAGCCACTGAATTATAGTTCAGTCCGTTGCCAGGGGAAACTGGGGTTTAGATTTTGTGTGTTATTTTGTCAATACTGTAAACTCTTAAATGTAAAGGTTTTTTTTGACATTCACTGTCACTGATGATTCTGTGGAGAACCTTTAATATCCAACTTTTCATTGCTCAAAAGGGTTCACATTAAAATTAATGCAAAAATAACTCTTCACCTTTAAAAATTAAGGTTTTACATTGGCATCAGTGATTCTATTGACATCCATGAAAACTTTCATGAAGAACCTTTAATATCTAAAACCATTCTGCAAAAGATTATTTATGGTAGAAATGTTTAGGATATTAAATTTATACTTTATGTCATTAAAATGATAAAACTCTTCTGTCAAGGAAAATAAAAATGGTAAACATCTTGAAAAGCTCTAGGGCACAAACTTTTTTGGTTATAAAGTTTATACATTTAAAATGTTTGTGAACATCGTATTGTTTTGCTTTGGCTGGGATAGTTAGAGCTCTTTGAATTTGGAAGTTAAGCACCATGGAAGTCCACAGTATGTAGAAAAATCCTCTACCACAAGCGTAATTTTTTATGACTAAGCAAACAACATTTCTGATAATAAGGGGTGAGTAATATATCAGGAAATTTTTGTTCTGAAAGTGAACTAATCCTTTAAATCATCTCATGCAGCATATAGACTAGGCCTCAGTTCACAAAGATCTCCCTCTAATTCTCATCACCTCGCTGTTGTCACCCATCACTGTTGCTTCATTTGTGGAGGTGTGTGTGTGACACCAGTCCTCGCACCCTCAAGGACACACTTCTGTCACCCGCTCGGCTCTTCTGCTCTTCTCATGCTGCCACGTTCCCACAACAGCACCTTCACACTTCATCTGTGCTCTACACAGCCACTGACCCCACCATCACCTCGTTTACATCATAATTGACTTTTATAGTGTATATATTCATTTATATTTATGTGAAAAAGATTGGACACCACATTTCAACGCAAATTCGGCAATTCGTAACTTTTTGATTTAGTGGCTAGAATATCTATATACATTTACAATCATCTGAAAAAAGTTGGACATTCTATTGAATTTTAATATGTACACATTAAAAAAAAATCGCATCTTGGGTTAATCTTAACATTTGGGAAATACAAAATATAGCATTAACAAAAATTAGTCAGGGGCACAATCAATTGAACTAATCAAATGCCTGAACTGGTCATCAGCAGAAGTTCCAGCAGTTTGTTGGTCTGGAACCTTCAGGTGTATATGGACAAAACCTCCAACCCACAGCTAAAGTTAAGGCAAAATAAAAAAAACAATCCCAAGCACAGCAGCAAATCTACAACAGAACAGCTGAAAAAGGAAAAGCAATCAAGGTTTCCCACTAGTCCCGTCAAAGCCTAGATCCCATCCTGACTGAAATACTGTAGCGAGAGCTCAGCAGAAATCTCCAAAACACCTCCAGAATTATTGAGAAACTCATAAAATGTTTTTTTTTTCTTCAAGAAATTACTGCTAAACGTGGATCTACATCCAGGCATCTGAACCACACGTGTCCAAAATGTGTATCCACCCATAGCCTTTCTAACACAGTGTTAGGTATAACATGATGTTGTCCATCTGAAGTTTTATTTTAGTTAGTTGTCTATCTGAAGGGGTCGTTCCACCGGTTTGCCCATCTTTGCCAAACAATTGTTATTACATGATCTGTTAAAACAAAATCACATGACTATTTAGACCATATACACAAACTCGTTTGGTAAATGTGTTTCCATATGTGTTTCCTATCTGGTTGCCAATGATTTATGACAAATAAAATGTATTTTGATGAAAAACTGTATGAGCAGTGCGGCATGTTTTAAACCACATCCTGAGCCTGATATGTGAACTCATAGAAAACTGTGGTCCAATTTTAATTATTTCATTGTCTGTTAACCATGTCAAGTGATTCTGTGTCCTCATTGTACATTTAAAATCATTTAATACACTAAAAGCCATTCGTTATCCCAATAGTAGCTTGGCATTTTGCTTTGCGTCCACTGTACAACACCTATAACTGAACTGCATTTAGCAGATGCTTTTATCCAAAGTGGTATACAAGTGAGGATATCAACCCATGCTCATTCTAAAAACTTACCTCTATATACATTTCTGGAGACTGCCAAAAATGTCCCAGGAGCTACATTTTATTTATTTATTTATTTTTTCAGTTTTTGTTTTCGCAAATCCATTCTGTCCCTTTTACGCCTGGTGTGCTTGCGTAAATCCACCAGAGGCCACTGTTGACTGACTGTCGACTGACTGACTGACTGACTGATCAACTGACTCACCCTTTTTTTTGTCTTACCTGCTTTCTGAAACCATTCTTTGCCAGACTCGAACCCTGACATGTGGTCAACTACTCTCTGCATCTCAAGCATCTCTGCATCTTAAGTTCACTGACGTACATGGCGAGCCAACTGGACAAACTGGTAACAGTGGAAAAGCTGTACATACGGAGGTAAGCAGTCAGCTGGTAATATTGCTCTGTATTGTTCATTTTAAAGATGTAATGCAGCCTTCCGTACTTCTGGTTACATAATTCGCAACCTCCAGAAATGTGTATATAGGGCTACGTTTTCAGAATGAGCCATTGTTGAAGGATATAAGAAGCACTTGAGTTGCAGTATATAAATACTATGATAGTATATAAATAAGTATAAGCATACTTAAGTATATAAATGCTATGATAGGTCTAAGTTATTAATATTATTATAATTTTTTTTTACTCCAAAGGTGCAAAGAGAGAGTAAGTTTTACAGGTGGTTTGTCAAGCCCACTTACATGTGTGCAGCACACTCAGTTTGCCATGTATGGGGTGTTGATAAGGTGTCTGGTGCATATGGAGAAGAAAAGTGTGTCTTCTACTGGTGGTTTGTCAAGCCCACTCACCTGCATAAAGCACACCAAGAATTGTAGAGTCGTTTCAGAAACATGGGGTGTTGATAAGAAAGGGTCTGGTGCATATCAAGAGGAGAGAGTGTGTGAAAAAGTTAGGACACCCTAGTGAAATCAGGACAAAAAAATTAGAAAAGCTATGGATGGTGTTGTGGAAAAAACGATTCTGGTCTGCAAAAATTTTCTAAGTCTCTAAGGGCTCTATTTTGACGGTATGTGCACAGAGCGCAAAACGCAGGGCGCAAACGCTTTCAGGGCGTGTCAGAACGCAGTTTTGCTAACTTAAGGACGGGAAAATCTGCTTTGCGCAATGGCGCATGGTCTAAAAGGGTTGAGTTTATTTTCTTAATGAGTTATAGGTGTATTTTGAGAATAAACCAATCAGAGTCTCATCTCCCATTCCCTTTAAGAGCCAGCTGCGTCTCGCCATAAGAGCATTGCTATTAACATGACGTAAAGTAAAATCACTATCGCTTTTGCTCTCGTGGATAGGGAAACCTTAACGCACAGACATCAATTAGCCCATAAATAATTAATTTACTTTGTTAAGCGCAAAGGTTTGTTTCAAAACTATTTCTAAATTCAGTTCTAATTTCAAGCAAACAAATAAATGATTAATAAAAACAAAGTGTGGTCAAAATACTGAGTTATTTCCAAATACACATGCTGTGCCCCATATGGTCTAAAACCTGACAGGTGGACAAATCTAAGCTTGTTTTTAATAAAACAAATATAAATATGGATATAATAAATAATACTGCTAATAATAATAACATTATACAAAAGCAAATTGAATGAACTGAAAAAGCCACCCGAGATGAAGAAAGTATGACGGCAGTGGTTTTTAAATTCATGTAGGCTAGAAATTAACATGTTTTGTAATATTTTTATCATTTATATTTATATCCTATATATATACATCCTTATTATATATATCTGTAAGATATTATATCTTTTTCATATGTAAACATATTTGCGTATTGCTCTACATCTTGTGTGTAGTGTGTAAGCCAGACGCACTTTGCGCCAGACAATAGACCGACTTTGTTCTTGTCTAAAGATCAGACTGTTTACAGTTTCTCAAAATAGCAACGCCCCAAAACACGCCTGCTTTTTTAGACCAGAACGCCTATGGGCGCACATTTGAGCGCAAATGCATTTGCTATTTAAAAAGTGTAGCGCAACACCTCAAAATGACTCTTGCGCCAAGCTTAAAGTAGCAAAAGACTATTGCGCCGCGCCTTGCGCCACATTGCGCCGAGTTTATGATAGGGCCCTAAGTCAAACTTTTAAAAAAAATGACAAAGTCTGAGATCTTCAAAGACTTTAGGCTAAGCAGTTTATTGTTACAGCATCAGTAACAACAGAGACAGGTTGTTCGAGTCTCTGCCGAACATAGGCTTGCACACAGTTTAAATACATTTCTGTGTCTTAACACTCCACCTAAATTTACACATTACACACCTCCATCAGCTTCTCCGCTAATAGGATTTTAAGTCTCTCAGGTCCCCACCACCAATAGAATCTCAGGGTCTTTCAGGGGTCTTACCCATGTCCAGTTAAGGTCTTTCCTTCCTGCTTCAAAAGTGATGACTCTGCCAAAAAACAATGCTCAACAATATATCTTGTTCACTGTCCACTGAGCTGTCAACTGTAAGATCAGCTGCAGTTCATAGGTACTCATAATTCTTTAGATGTCAGTACAAGTGAATGTGGGCACATGTGCAGGTGTGCCTTATGATGAGTTACAGAACAGAACGCAGGTGTCCTTTTAGCCTTGCTTACGTAAATCAACCCTCATTGTGACATTAATGCTGCTCTTCTAATTTATCTTCTCATCTCTGACTGCATTGACACAGAATGACTTTTTCATTTACCAAAGCACACATATCTGATAATAATGCCACAGGTATGGGTAATAATACAATTGATAATAATAATAATAATACTGAAATCACTCAAATAAGCATATAAATGAGATTAATACATTCATCAGAAATTCATCAGGACACAATGAATTCCCCAACAATGGTAACAAATTTAGGACACAATTGGTTCAGATGCCTGTAGATTCACGTTTAGCAGTAATACCTTAGAGCAGTGTTTCTCAACCACATTCCTGGAGGACCACCAACACTGCATGTTTTAGATGTCTCCTATATTGGTCACACACATTACAGATCTTTTCGTCTCTGCTGATGGTCTGAATCAGGTGTGTTTAGTTAAGGAGACAATGAAAATATGCAGAGCTGGTGGTCCTCCTGGAATGTGGTTGAGTTAAAGTAAACAACTTATGAACTTCCCCAAGTAGCAAAGAATGTTGACCCAGATTTGGCATAAAGCTGGCACAGCAGGCATTCAGCCGGCACTGGCATACAGCATGTGGGCCAAACATAGGCCAGGTTTGACAGAAGTGGCAAAGTCTTTAAGGCGGCACACAATACTTGGGTCAGTTGTCAAATGTATTATTTGGCCTAGCTGTTGAAAATTGATATGTGGGCCATGTGAGTTTGGCCTATCTTGACCCACATTTAAAATCAAATTTTTATATTTTCCAATGAAGTTTTTTTTTTAACAATCAGGTCGCTATAAAACAAAGCACGCCCATAGCATGCCTAAAATTCAATGCTTCATGGGTTTATCAATTTCATTGCAGTTGTGACACGCCAACATATCTGGCCCAGGTCAGGCTTGGTTATGGGTTATTAACTTGACTGAGACTTGGCACAGATATGGTCCATGTTTGGCCCTTGTCTAGAAGCCAGATTTGGTCCACTCATGTACCGTAATCAATACCGTAATGGGCCAAGCAAAAGCTGATTGTGTGGGCCAGAGATATTTTGCTGGGTCTCAGTTTCTCAGATAATTCTGAAAGACAGCTCTTGCCACAGCATTTCAGTCAGGATGAGGTCTGAAGTTTGACTCCAGACTAAGACACCTTGATTTTTAGATTTGTTTGGCAACTGTTCTGTTGTAGATTTGCTGCTGTTCTTGGGAGCATTTTTTATGACCATTTTCTTGTGAAATGGGCATTTTGTTAACACACACACCTAAAGGCTCCAGACCAACAAACTGCTGGGACTTCTGTTGATGATCAGATCAGGCATTTGATTAGAGCGCATGACTTATTTTTGTTAACGCAACGTTTTCTTTTTCAAAAATTTAAAATCAGTCAAAAAGGGTGTCGAATCTTTTTCACATATAAATGAATATATAATACACTATAAATGTCAATTATGATGTAAACGAGGTGATGGTGGGATCAGTGTTTGTGTATTGCAGAGATGAAGTGTGAAGGTGCTGTTGTGGGAACGTGGCAGCATGAGAAGAGCAGAAGAGCCGAGCGGGTGACAGAAGTGTGTCCGTGAGGGTGTGAGGACTGGTGTCACACACACACCTCCACAAATGAAGCAAAAGCGACGGGTGACAACAGCGAGGTGATGAGATGGAGATCTTCGTGAACTGGGGTTTAGTCTTAGATGCTTCAAAGGATTAGTTTACTTTCAGAATGAAAATTTCCTGATATTTTACTCACCCCTTAATATTGTAAAACATCTGAAATGTTGTTTTGTTCATTCTAAAATCCAAAGTCAATCATCAAAATGGTTCAGTATTACTACACCCACAATTGTCTTGAGGGTCTGCAATCCCAAAGAGCGTCTCACGCCTTCTAAAAGAGCCATCATGTGTTCATTATGTTTCATCTTTGTCTTTAAGACATTTATTATATAAAAAAGAAGCGCCGACAGTTTTCCCCTACCGCAACAAATTCCAGTTTTTCATTCATTAATTTTCTTTAAAGTCTCTATTTGAGAGGTGCCACAGCGGAATGAACCGCCCATTTCAGCATGTTTTACCCAGTGGATGCCCTTCCAGCTGCAACTCAGTAATCGGAAACACCCATAAACATATACTAAGGCCAATTTAGTCTACCCAATTTACTTATACAGCATGTATTTAGACTGTGGAGGAAACCTATGCGAACATGGGGAGTACATGCAAACTCCACACAGAAATGCCAACTAGCCCAGCCGGGACTTGAACCAGCAACTTTCTTGCTGTGAGGCGACAGTGCTAAACACTTAGCCATAATGCTGCCCAAATTCCAGTTTTCTGTTTAATATTTGGAGTCAGTTTCTAAGGAAGTGATGATTTTGTTGGACAGAAACAGTGTTTTATTCGCAAATGTTTTTTAGCAATATTACAGTTTTGAGCATTAGTCAAATATTGATGCTAGAGTCTGTTATGTTAAAACACTCTAACAAGTAAAATAATTAGTGAATTAGTTTGCTACCTTCCAAGTACGAAGCTATTGAACACTTCTTACCCGCTGTAAGGTCGATGTCCAGGTCAAGCGTGTGTTCAGTAGGTGCTGATGTGGGAATGATGTGGCTCCATGTTTTGAGCAGAAAGTGAGCAGGCTGGGGGTGAAGGCTGGTGTCGCCTCAACACCTCCTCAGATAAGAGCAGAGGTGTGAGGAGCGCAT